ATGGTGAAGCAGGGCAAACAACAAGGTTTGATTTTTTATTTTTTTTTCATTTTCTTGGAAGCAGACCCATTTGGGTGTTGCTTAAGCAGGGCAAAAAGGTTTATTTGTTATAGAATTGCATGATTTTGAACATATCCACTCATGGGTATTATGCCTCGACTTTATTCGGTGTTTCCCTTAATCATTAAATCGGTTCCAATATTTGTTGTTCTGTTGTTTGGGTTTGCAAAGATCATTTATTTGTTGTCGAATTTCATGATTTTGTAACAGTTTTCTCATGGGTATTATTCTTCGGTGACATTAGCATGTCCCCAAAGCATTTTGAGTCCTAACAAGGGTTTCATATAGGATATGGGAAAGAGGCTTATTGTATTTTTCGTACTGGTTCTATAGTATGTGTCATGCGCAGTAATGGTATTAATAGTGCATTTAGATGGTATTAACACAGGGTACTCGAAGTATAATCTTTGATGGTTCTGTAGTATGTGTCATATGCCACAATAGTATTACTAGTGCCTTTGAATGGTATTACTAGTGACTTCGGATGGTATTGACATGTGGTACTAGAAGTATAATGTTTGATGGTCCTGTAGTATAAGTCATATGCCATAATAGTATTACTTGTGCCTTTGAATGGTATTACTAGTGACTTCGGATGGTATTGACATGTGGTACTAGAAGTATAATGTTTGATGGTCCTGTAGTACAAGTCATATGCCATAATAGTATTACTAGTGCCTTTGAATGGTATTACTATTGACTTTGGACGGTATTGACATGTGGAACTTTATAGTACGTTGTATTTGTTATAATTGTAGTTTTATGTGTATGTAATTGCAGGAATTGATGTAAAAGAAGATTGCAGCAAGCTATCAATAGGCTGCAGGTGCTCACCGATCGCCTTTCAAACAACTATGGAAGGTGTGAAAAAAGTGATGAAGAAACAACATTATGAAGTACTGAAGAAAAATCCCTTCTATCACTACATGGACATGCCTAAAATAAACCACAGCTTCCCTAGGGTTGTGTCTCTCATGCAAGCGTACAATGCAGAAGATCGGGCCTTCTGGTTTGGGGGAAATACTATACGCTTGGAATTCACTCCGCTGCAATTATCTATCGTATTAGGGCTGCAGTACGAGGCGTACCGGTGGATGTGAATATGGATGGCAGAGACACTGATTTCATTACACGTATTTTTGATGGTAAATCATCATTAATGACGAGGCCATATATTGGTTATAAACTGGAGGCCTATGCAGTTATGACCGATCAACAATCTGTTGAAGATTTCAGCAGATTGTAGACTATTTATCTATTTAATACTATTCTACTGCCAAAGGGTAACAAAACGTTAGAAAGGTGGGTTTATCCGCATGTAGATGATTTGGAGGTTTTAGGGTCTTTTGCATGGGGAAAGTTGGTGTATGATATTCTTGTTGAGAATATGGAGATGTATCTTAAGGGGGGGGGGGGGGGGGGGGTTAAAGTATTTTGATGGATGCACTATCGGCTTATTGGTAAGTGATATCTAATAGTGAATATATATTATGTTATATTGAATATACCAATTAATAGTGATTCCAAAATACGCAGGCATGGGTGCATGAAAGGATCACGTTACTAGGGGTTACCACCAGTGTTTACAAATTTCCCCGGTTCTTCCGGTGGCAAGACAGCAAAATCCCAATCGATGAAGAAGAAGCTAGGTTGCTTTTTGATCAGATAAAACAAGTACAGGTAACACTTTGAGTTACAAAATATATAATCTATTAGGTATTTGCTAACAATTTTTTTACGTTTATTAGGTTATACCATTTTCTGTGTACCCAAAAGAGAAAGCGTTGCTTTCTCCGGTTTTGGAAGTAATTTCTGGTCCAGTTGTTGGAATTAGTGCTAATAGGTTTGTTGAAATAAGTTCTGAAAGTAGTGAAGATGAGATTGAAGACGTGGAAGCAACACCTGTAAGTCATTAATACAATAAACCCTAAACTTCATACTTCCATTCACATTGGAACATACTATATGTCAACTAATATAATACTATTGTATAACATGTTTCGTACTATTGTTTTTTTTAGTTGCACCATAAGAAGAATAACATAAAAAGGAAGAGGGGGAATGTAACAGAAGAAGAAAATAAAGAGAAAAAAAATGCAGAGTAAGAGAAAGAAAGAAAAAGAGATAGAGAAAGAGAAGGAGATAGAGATAGAGAAAGAGCAGGAGAAAGAGAAAGAGAAAGAGAAAGAGACAGAGAGAGTGAATGAGAGAGAGAATGAGAGAGAGACAGAAAAAGAGAGAGAGACAGAGACAGAGAAAGAGATAGAGATAGAGGCAGAGATAGAGATAGAGGAAAGGGAAAAAGAAGGAGAAAAAAATGAAGTAGAGGGGATGGAAGGTGAAGGAGACCGAAATGAAGAAAGAGAGAGAAATCAAGGAGACGAAAGTCAAAGTCAAAGGCCAAAGTTCCACGCGTGCGAGGACGAGGACGAGGACGTGGTCGTAAACAAGTTCCTGTGTCCAAGGTTTCGGTTTCAGCCCATGGGATCAAGTTATTTATGATTATATTAGTATTACATTATTATTATTTTTTGTCATAATTGGTGTGATTTATTCGTTATATAGAATGCCGATTATTACCGGGGAAGAGAGGACTACGTACGTCGTGACCAAATATCCGAAGAAGAGAAGATATTGTTTCTTGGAAAGTGTTGATTTAGGGTAAGAGCACAACCACCTTGATAGTACATGTTAATGTCTTTAATGGTATATGTCAAGTGAATACATAGTACATGTTGACTGCATGTTATAGTATGTAGTAACTTTGTACATAGTATAAGTTTACTTATCCAATGGTACATGTTGACTGCATGTTATAGTATGTAGTAACTTTGTACATAGTATAAGTTTACTTATCCAATAGTACATGTTGACTGCATGTTATAGTATGTAGTAACTTTGTACATAGTATAAGTCTACTTATCCAATAGTATATGTTGACTACATGTTATAGTATGTAGTAACTTTGTACATAGTACAAGTGTACTTATCCAATAGTACGTGGTTATGTCTTACTGTAGTGAAACTATTGTGGAGAGAGGCCCACATCAATTGACGGGAAGGCATATGTGCGAAATTTTATTTGATGACATGCTGAGTGCGGAACACATAGATTTGTACCAATTTCATTGACGTTTTAATGATCAATAAGTACGGGAGATGCATAAATTATGTTTTAGATGATTATTTCAAGGTAGGTGAGCATTATTGTTGCGTTTGGAATACAAGATCCCATAAATATGTTGATTTTCATACATGATACTCATATACTATACAATATATTCATACAAGTCTACAATGCTCAAGTGTAAAACTAATATTTTCCTCAATTGTTACCATAATCGATGTTGATCGACTCCCACATTGTCTCCATTCATTCTTAATAGTCTTAAACTGAAGAGTTGTGTCTTAAAATGCGATCATATGGATGCATTGGCCCGACAATAATATATAGAGTGTAACAATACTATATGAATGGCAAACATATACTTTATCAGTGACCAAATCGTACTATAGTCACGAATCACTTGTACTTCACATGTGTATCCATTGTACTTACCTGATGAACAAAGCGTACCATATTTTTTGATGAATTGAATTGTACCAATTTCATTGACGTTTTAATGATCAATAAGTACGTGAGATGCATAAATTATGTTTTAGATGATTATTTTAAGGTAGGTGAGCATTATTGTTGCGTTTGGAATACAAGATCCCATAAATATGTTGAATTTCATACATGATACTCATATACTATACAATATATTCATACAAGTCTACAATGCTCAAGTGTCAAACTAATATTTTCCTCAATTGTTACCATAATCGATGTTGATCGACTCCCACATTGTCTCCATTCATTCTTAGTAGTCTTAAACTGAAGAGTTGTGTCTTAAAATGCGATCATATGGATGCATTGGCCCGACAATAATATATAGAGTGTAACAATACTATATGAATGGCAAACATATACTTTATCAGTGAACAAATCGTACTATAGTCACGAATCACTTGTACTTCACATGTGTATCCATTGTACTTATTTGGTGAATAAAGCGTACTATATTCACGAACAACCCGAACTCTACCAGCTTATACATTGTACTTATTTGGTGAATAAAGCGTACTATATTCACGAATAACCCGAACTTTACCAGCTTATACATTGTACTTATTTGGTGAACAAAGCGTACTATATTCACGAATAACCCTAACTTTACCAGCTTATACATTGTACTCTTATGTTCACTAATTAAACAACAGTACATAGGTTTTACATAGCATGTAGACTGCAAATATTACTAGATTCAACACTATCAAACTATGAACTACTCCACCTTCAGAATTGCAATTCTTCACTTCACTTTCTTGATGGACTTGGTTCATCGACGCACTTGTAGCTTCATTATCTTCACGATTTGAGTTGGAAAAAGTTTTCCCAACTTCAAATGGTTCACACCAATGGGAGTAGCCATGGTGTGGGCAACAGTAAAATAACCTTCCGGGATTCGAAATAGTTTCTGAAACCATGATTATTGTTTTCTTCCCACAATCAAGACGCTTGCATTTCCCTTTTTTGTATTTTAACCCACTCATTTGAGTGGTGCTACTAGAAGAAGCCATGAATTAGAAACAAATGAGCCTATGTGTCATTTATGGTCATATTATGACTTGACTAGTTCTGACAAAAAGCAACGGCTATATTATAAGCAACGACTATATTGTAACGGTCATAAATTGAGTAAGTCATACCATCCTATCTCATAGATAATACCATGCGTAAATCAAATCAGTACCTTTATACTGAAAATGATAAACCATCAAGCAGCAACAAGCATACCATCATATCGCATATCTAATACCATGTGTAAATAAAAATAGTACTATTAGACTGAAAATGATAAACCATCAACCAACAATAGGCATACCATCCTATCTCATATCCAATACCATGTGTAAATAAAAATAGTACCATTAGACTGAAAATGATAAACCATCAATGAACAGAGTACCTAATACATAGTACAAACTACAAATAGCAAAAACATAGTGCAAATTGAAACATAGTACAAAGTTCAAATCAACATAGTACAAATCACATAATAATAAAGTACAAACAGCCAGTTTTCATTCACTTCAATCACTTGAATAACATAATGGGCAATCATGTAAGCTCTCCTCCATCTTGTCCTCCCTGATGAAAAACATAAAATTTACATTAGAAACAAGACTAGTTAGTTTAAGTAACACAAATGCAGACAGTATTTACATTAAAAAAAAATTGCTAGTCAGATTGGTTGTGTGCAAGTACGACGATTGTGTCCAGGCTTCCCACACCGAGTACACTTCAGTTTACGAGTTTGCACTTGTGAAGGAATTCTTTTTGTCTTTCTACGTCCCGGTCGAGTTCTCGAATCAGGTGCATTAACAAAGACATCGGGCGGAGCATTACACGCATCGTACAAGTCAAAGTCCTCATCAAACGAGGGAATTGGGTTAATCGTGAATTGATATACCTATTTGTATGTATCAATATGAAAGCATGGATCAACAAACTCATATACTGAGTATCCTTTTGACTCCTAACATGCACATGCATGTTTGCATGGAAGTTTCTCTAATTGCCATGCTTTACAAGAACAAGTCTTGTGCTGCAAGCCAACCTTATACGACTTGTCCTCATCATATACCTCAAAAGCGGTACTACTTGATCTACAATATTTGAAGGAACGAGAGGCCATATGATTGATTGTTAATCTCTTTAGAATTTTCTTGCACAATATGCCAGTCATTGCCAAACTTTTTCCTTGTCGTTTAACTAGCATCTCCATTATTTTGATCCGTATGTGATCAATCATGGATGGAACAGGCAAAGATCGGGCATCTTTAACCCAACCATTCCAATTTTCTGCATGATTATTGTTCACGATTCCCCATCTTTCTCCAGAAAAATAGGCATTGGCCCAATGATTTGGATCAGAATTCGAAATAAATGATGCCGCGAGAGGCATAGATTGCACTATACGAGAAATAGTTGCATCGAACTCCTGCCGAGTAGGAGCATATGCAGCATTATGTAAAACACTCGCCCAATATAACTTGTTGTGCAATGGGTACTTCCTCAGGACCTATATTATTTTGTAATAGTATGAAACATGTTATACAAAGGTATGAAACATGTTATACAAAAGTATGCAACATGCTATACAAATATTTATATTAGCATACGTCCATACCATATTTATATTAGCATGATACTATTATGTGCCATATTTTATACTATGTATCACACAATAATTAACAACCATAAAGAAATGCATTTCAGCAGTACAGAAAAAGATGGAGACCTACCAGCCATCGGTGCGAACCCTCTTTCCACGCGAATTAGCTTCATCTTTGCGGATCACGACAATGTCGACCACACTCATCTTCATTATCAGATGCAATGCAACCATATTCTCCACATCTTCATCACTGCCCAATGTCACATACAATCTTTCCCGAGGAGCCAAGTATTGGAGGATTAGTGCATCTGGATGGATATGATTCCATTTGTTGATAATAGCACCATATATCTCTATTAAGGTCGAATTACTTTTTATGGAAATAATGTGAAGTTGATTTTTGTATCGACAACTTCCAAGAATCACAGTGGGTACATCATTAGATACATCATTTGTAGCCATTGTGGGGTGGGTGGGTTTTACAGTGATTTTTTCGCCGGAAAAAGAGGAAACCAGAGGAGAGAAAGGGAGAAGAAATAGAGGAGAAAGAGAGCAGATAGAAATGAAGAGAGAGAAGAAAGAAAGAGAAGATGAAGAGAGAGAAAAGCAGGAGAGAGAAAAGGGTGAGAGTGAAAAGATAATATAATAAAATATATAAAATTCACATTAGGGACTGATCTGCATGTCAGACGCGTGAATAGGGACTGAATTGCTTGGAGAAATTACCTAGGGACTGATCTGTGTTTTGAGTTTTGGATTAGGAATTTATCTGTAGTTTCCCATAAATCAGAAAATCGGAATTTTATCGAAAATTAAAATTGAATTGGAAAATTCGAAAATTCCAATTCAAAGATATTCGAAAATGTTGAAAATCGAAATTTCAAAAATCGGAGTGGAAAACAGTGTGTCCGAATTGGAAATGTGTCAATCAAATCGATGGAAATTGAAAATTCCAGAAATAAATCATTTCCTATGCTTATTTATTTCAACCAAATATTTTAAAAAAGAGAAAGAAAAGGGGAAAGAAAATAAAAAGGAAATCATCAGCTCTTTTGAACCCAACGGTCGGCGCTACTGCAAAAAACAATGGCTATTATCTCTTCAAAAAATGGTTCTAAAGAAAACCCTGTTTCTGCTTCTTCTTCGTCGTCGAAATCCAAGGTATCTTCTCTCTTTCTCTCTCTAGAACCAAATGCTCTGATCTTTTGAAATTTTGATACACATATAAATTATAATTGTCGTTTTAAAAAATGGATCTTGATCGGTATAAGTATCATAACAGCTTAAGCAGAAGAAGAGTACATCGGAGTTTAAAAGAAAAATGGCGGAGGAGAGGCTAATGGATCTTACCAATACGCTCAAGAATATTGTGAGAATCTTTCTTCTTTTTATTATGTATATTTATTACTCTAGTGTTTTCTATTGAGGTTTTTATTTATTTATTTGGCACCTCTTATTTACTCCAATTGCTATTAAATTATTAAAAAAAGAAGAAAAAAAAAAAAGAAAAGCTGAGTTGGTTTGAGTTGAGCGCTAATAAAAATAGTAGAAGGGTTTCTTTAAGGATTTGATAAAATGTAGAGTCTTTATTTTTAGGCAAGAAAATCGATTCTTTTTTAAACGGTGTTCCATTTCTTATTCCAATATCACGATACGAAACACGTGTTTAAAGTGATTAATAAATACATATAGCTGATTTCGTTGATGCTATTGGAGTATGAGATTAACTATGGTTTGAAATACCGAATATTGTTTGCATTTTTTCAGATGAAAGTCAGTGATGCCGTTATACATCACAGCTTCAATTGTGTATTTCGTTTAATTTCTTTTCCAATAAAGTAGTTTCCTTCGTTTTCGAATACTTCAATTATCACTTATGAGAACTTTTTTTTGTTTTTTGCTCAATAACGTTTGAGCAGGGTGACTCTGTATGCATGGATATCATACGGTGAGTGCAAATTGCTATACGGAAAGTCGAAAACTATCATCTCCCCATTTTTTTTATTTTTTAACTAGTTTTCTCGATTCTTATAGTTATCAGCCGAAAGAGAATTTAACCAGTGATCTCTCGAGCTCGGCTATGGAACGAGCAGAAGAGGTTCAAAGAAATCTCCCAAAAAAATTCCCGAGTTTTGTGAAGCTTATGTTAAGATCACATGTAACTCAAGGATTTTGGTTGGTAAGTCGAGCTCTTTAATTTCGGGGAAAATATTTATAGAGCATAAATAAAAAATAATGAGTATGAGTTTTATCGTTAAATTGTAGGGTCTTCCAAATAAATTTTGTCGTGATTATCTACCAAAGAACGATGAGAAAATAGTTTTGGTGGATGCAAACGAGAAAGGATACGATACAAAATACTTGGCGGGTAGAACGGGGCTAAGTGGTGGATGGAGAGCTTTCTCCATTGAACACAACTTGCTCGAGGGGGATGTCGTCGTTTTTCATCTGATTGAGCCGTGCAAGTTTAAGGTAATTTTCGATACATTCTCGTTTTTTGTATTTTGTTTTTATTTTTATTTTTTTTAATTCCATTTTTTTGGTGGAAGTGAATATAAATGGGCGAAGGATTTTAAATCCATAATACTATATTTATTGAGTTTGTTTGGATTGATTGATTCATATTGACGATGAAATTCAAATTCTTAGCTCTCGTTTCGAGTCATTGTGATGGATTTTCTATCTCGTTTGAAATGCTTCCTTAAATCCAAATTCTTCAAATTCAAATTCAAATTGAAATGCACTATAATTGGTCTGTGTTTCGTAAAGCTATACATTGTGAGAGCTAGAAGATTAACAGAAGTCGATGGCGCTATGAGCCTCGTAAATCTAGACTCTCATCCCGAGCCAATCAAAGCATGTACGTAATTCTCAACGTCTTAATCTTATTTTTCGTTTTACTATACTCGTTGCCCTATACGTTAGTTTTTTTTTTAACTACTATTTCACTTATCTTGTTAGTGAAAATGGAAGAGCCAGAAGAAAATGCAAATATTATAGAGACGAAAACGAGAAATAAATATCCGAACCCCCTCGTGCAAGATAATAATAATAATCAGAAGAAGAAGAAAAAGACGAAAAAAAATATTCCTACTACTAGTGATGATGCAGAAATAGCCGATGGAATCAAATTCTCAGAATCACGTCTCGATTTTAAATACGTGAATTGCTTTCAAGATTTCAGCATTCATTTGGATGGCGGCCTAGTCATCGATTCTGAAGTTCCGAGGCATCAGAAGAAAAAATACTACGATCTCTGCAGAAGTCAAAACACGTTTCTTCACGAAAACCTCGTGCGTGGCCTCAACACCAAGCTAGCGGCCGGGATTATTTCCGAGACGGTCAACATAGCGGATGCTATAAGAGCTAGCACAACGCCACACGAGCATTTGGAGAGTTGGGACAAGACGCTCAAAGCTTTCGAGGATTTGGGTATGTCGGTGGGCCCACTGCGCGCTAGGATACGCGAGATGATGAGTCTTTATCGCGATTCTCGAGCCAGGATCGAGTTGATGAGGAAGGAGAGAGCTGAAGCTGAAGGAGTGATGAAGGAACTCAGTCAGCGGCTTTCGAATGTCAAGACTTGTGTTGACAAGTATGATGCTATTATTGATGATCTTATTAATGCGAGAAACGAGGGGCTCGGTTCTAAGTTTGAGGAAATCGCTTGTGCTCCGTGGTGAAAAAAATATCACTCTTTGTGATAGTTGTGAAACACTAATTTCAGTTTTGTTACATAAATTGGAATATAATGAAAAAACATTGTGCCAAAATCAAAAGCTGTCAGATCGGAATCAACGGAATTTAGATGATTCCAATTTTTTAGTCGCCTTAAACATAAAACTTTTTAATTTGAAATTACTTGTGGCTGTATCTCGGGGACAATTGGCTTATAACTCTTAGCACTTATGTGGGCTGGCCAATAATGTCTTACGGAAAAGAATAAAAATATAATTCGTAACCCGACTTACACAAATTTTGTCCAAATTTCTGTCAAACTCTCATTTCGAAATATACCTACCAAATTAACATAAATGGATATTATAAAATCGACAGGCGATCAATATATTTGAACTTATGTCGAGCGTAAAATTTTAAGTAGGATCGTCTTCATCTAATGAAATGTTTAATTATGTTGTATAAGTATGAATTAGTAAAGAATTTTCTTTTTGTTTTTTTTTTTTTTTTTAAGTACAGAATTTATCATAAGAACTTTTAGCAAATTCTAGTGAAAAAATGTTTCTTTTGATATTTTTAGTATGAATATTATGATTTTGGCACTTTCTAAATTAAAAAAAAAATATATTATTTTTGGGATTTTTCTGCCTTGAAATTTGTTAATCAGAACATTTTAGAATAAGGTTAAATCTTCAAGCAGTATCCGAAATTTCACTATTTATTTTCGAAACACAGATATATCTATTGCTTTAGAGTTTCGAATTATCATGACATTTTTCACTTGCATACAAATATTGAATTGGTTTAGTCATTTAACTTAGAAGTACGCCAGCCCAGTTGATCGTGGCAGCCGTGAGAAATTCGAGACGAGTTCTGAATTCATTATTTATCATCCAATTCAAATAGCCCTCTTCGAAGGAGTAATCACTAAATTCACGACTGCATCGATTCACATCTTCAACGGTATCATCAATTCGGCCCAGGATATGATCACAATCACCGTTACTAAAGGTTTTCTTTACCAATTCGAATTTGCGGATGGCATCGTTGTAATTATGGGAGCACTGCAGGTACTTGTTCTTCAAGTTTGCATCTTTGGTTTCGTTATAAGACCGCTCAAGATCCTCGTGGACTTTATCGACTGTTTCTTTGGCCGAGTCGAGTGCGTAAAGAGCCACACTTAGGATAGTTGTGTCGTTGGATCCGTTGACCTCGGATTCGACTAAGTTCAAGCAATAGTCTGTATTATTTGTCTGAGAGCACAAATCGCTTAGGTATTTTTCGACTTCCGGTTTCGTCATAATCTTCCAGTCACCACCCAATGAAGAGGGAACTGCAATTGCCAAAACAAGAGCAATGAATATATTTCTCAAATAGTAAGACATTTTTTTGTCTTTCTTCTTTTTCTATATTTTTTTTCTAACTTCTTCAAATGCCTTCATGTTTATATAGCGGTAAGTGTCATTACTCTTGATATTTAATGCTTGCTTGTTCTAAATTCAGTTTTGAATTCAAGAATCTACTATCTTAAATGTAAATTACATACGTTTCAGATTTAACAAAGAGTATGAAGATTGGGGTCTCGGGTTTAAACCGACGAGAATCCGGGTTGTGATTTGCACCATTGGAGTTGCTCTTAGCAATCGGTTTTAATATGAGATATAAGGCGCGATCCCTATTAGCCCGTGTTCGTGAAAAACAAATCAAATTTGAACACATATTTTTGTTCGATAAAAATATACAATTCCATTAGAATAAATATGATAAAAGGGGTCTTAGGATATATGTCCTGATATGCCTAATTGGGCCAACCCAATGGGCTTACAATTTATTTACCTAATGGGGCACGAGCCCAATATTGAAGACCACTACCACTGTGGCCCCATCACCTTCAAATAATATTTGGGTCCAACAATCTCAACTAAGGTATAAATAATGATATAATTTCATTCCTATCACATTCAAATAAGGTTTGAGCCCAACAATCTCAACTAAGGTATAAATAACAATATAATTTCATTTATTAAAGGGACGCCCTATTATCTGAATAAGACTATGAGTCATATTCTCTCAACTATTTCTACAATCCGCACGTCTGACTTGAGCGTCGGAGGGGTTTTCGCCGGATCAACCCCGGCCTAGTTCACGTATTCTCCGTTCGCAGGTATCTCAAGGCCATCTAGCACGTGAGCTGTAATCCACTTTGCTCTCCCAGTTCATTCTATCTCAACTACTTAAGGTGATCTATTTCTAGCATCATCAGGTCCCTAGTGACAAAATTTATTAGAACTAAATGACAAGCTCAACTAAAAATTTGTTTCATATCCTTTATAAAATTCATTTAAAAAATGGCCCTCCATTAACAAATTCGAAATATACATTAAGTAAATTTCAAACTCCAACACTCACAGCCGCCGCGACCGTTGTCATCTACCAACATTGAAAAAACCTAGATCTGCCATTTAAACCCCAACTAAGCAAATTCTCTTAAAAGATAAGAAAATCAGATGCAATTAATTTCAAAATATGTTTTCAATAACATCCTAACCATAACCACAGCCCCCCGCCGCACAGCCCCATGTCGTCGCCACCATAGCCGTCGCCACCTACCATAACCACCGCCACCATAGCCGTCGCCACCTATCATAACCACCGTTATAGCCTCCATAATTATTCCACTATAATTGGATTTAATACTTTATTAAATATAAATATGTTAAAAGAAAAAGAGGGGGGCGTGGGGACGACAAATGAGAGAGAGAGATGGATTTAATCCTTTATTAAATATAAATTTGTTCAAAGAAAAAAAAAAAGAGGGGGGCTTGGGGACGACATGAGAGAGAGAGAGAGAGAGAGAGAGAGAGGGGGAGAAAACGAGAAAGTGAGAGGAGAGGGGGTGTTGAGCGGCGTGAGAGTGGGGAATAGAGAGAGATAGACTTTTATTAGGTATTTCAAGGGTTTTATCTATCCTACACCCGGTGAAGGTTACACCGGGTGATTTTTTACCGTTGATCTACACATACCAATGTGGGTGTGTGTGTGTTTGTGTGTATATGAATGGTAAAGATCTACCCGGTGTATTTCACCCGGTGTAGGATCTCAAAAGCCGTATTTCAAGGGTATTTTGGATTAAATAAAAAATAAAGGATATGTATCAATTTTTATTTTAAAATAGGGATGTAGTGAAAATGTTCTATTTGAGTTTGTCATTCATATCTAATTAGGTGGTTTGAGGGGTGTGAGGCATATTACCCCATGATAAAAATACGTATAAAAAATCAAAGTTAAACTCCTACTCAACCTCGACTAGAATTAGTTCAAGTTCGACTATATTGAAGTTAGCCAATTAGAATTCAAACGCGATATTGTCATTGAGGCATGCTAAAATCGATCAAAATAGGAAAACAAAATCTTAGAAAGGTTAAGAGCCAAACTAGTATATCCCTAGGCATGCTAAAACTGTTTAATCTAGGGGTGGTTTCCGTACAGTTACCGAATACTTTGCTCAATACCGTGTACATATTGTATTATATATTTATATGGTATTGAAAAATTTCATATTATTACCGTATCAACAATTGCGGTATACAGTAACTTCGGTGCATTATAATTGGTAAATGGTACTCTACCACTAATTTTAATTTGTTCACTCGGAATGATATAAATTATAATAATGTGATATTTATGAATTACGAAGAACAAAAGAAAAAAAAAAAAAAAAAAGAACACTAACACTCTAACCAAGTAGTAGCCCAGAGAAGTAAAATTTCAGTCTTGCTTAAAATATGAAAAAATCGTTCAAAAATGACCAAAAAAAAAAAGAAAAAGAAAGAAATAAAAAATCATGTCTACAGTTACAGAGGGATGAACTAAAATTATTATGGAGTCAATAATGAAACAAAGATGAAGCATATAGTACATTAAATTTTCTGTCAAGCAAACTCATTTGTGAATGCAATACATTATTCTTCTGCATGATTTACTTATATCATAATCAGGTGTAAACAACAGATGAACAATAGAGATCTATACTATGTGCAGACTTCACCAGAGGTGTGGCGGCATAGAGTTGACCGCTTGAACAGCCAGAAAACCATATGGAAATAAAAAACCACGAGCCATATATCGAAAGACTATTATCCTCAAAACCGCAACGACAAAAGTAATATTACACATTATAAAATTAAATAAACATTAAACAAAAATGCTATGGAAAAGGAAAATGGGACCGGTCGAAAACTAGAGGAACTACTCATGTAACTTACGTGCTCAAGAAAGTCTGTTGTTACAAGACTCAAGAGAAACACTATATAACCGTTTAACGGCTTTGATACCTGCCCCTCCCGCCACCGAAACGTCCACCACCTCTGTGCTGCCCTCTTCCTCGACCACCACCACCACCACCACCACCGCCACCGCCACCACGGCCTTGATTGAAAGGCAAAGTCGAAGGAGACTGCTGCTGCTGCTGCTGGAAATTAGGATTAATCTGAGAACCCTGAGATTGAACCGGTTGTTGTTCTCCACCTCCATTGAAAGGCATAGCAGAAGAAGCATTATTCTGCTGCGCCTGGAAAGCAGCCATTCCAAACTGCTGTTGATTTAGCATTGGCCATTGTCCAGGTGTCGCATTCCCGCCAAAATTTGCATTAAAGTTTAAGGGAAACCCTGGTATCGCACTCATTTGCTGTTGAAACGCCATGTTTGTTTGCATAGGAGTTTGATATAATTGATATGGTACATTCTGCTGCATCCACATCATACCGTTTGCCGCCGCCGCTAGTCCGTTTGGAATCCCCATATTTTGCTGCTGCTGATGTGGAAACCCGTTATTCCACATTCCGTCGGGCGCAACAAAACCAGGCCCCTGAGGAAACTGCGGAAATGTAGGAGCAACTGCGGCACCGCTGTGCGGAAGAAATTGCGGAAATTGAGGAGCAACTGTAGGAACTGCAGCACCACTGTGAGGAACTGTAGACAAATCCTGTCTGATGCTATTTTCTTGATTCATCGGAGAATGAGTTTGTGGTGGTGGAGGAGGATCTCTGTTATTATTACGGTTAAAGTTCCCGTTCGTCTTTTTTCCGTTTCTTTTTGTAGCAGGCTTATTATTATTATTAGATTCATTAGCTCCACCTCGTTTCTTGATTTTAATCATCCTCCTATACTCCGCCTCTTTCTCATCATCCGAGAATTCCAAATCGTCCGACAGCTCTTCATCGTTTTCACCAGATGCATCGTACCCTTTCTGGTACAGACTCTTTTCATTGAGCACGTGTTTAGCAAACTCTGGAACGAAAGATACACAAGTGCCTTGCTGGATTCCATTAGGGACTTCACTCTCTTCATTGTATCTAACTATATAGTACGGATTCTTGACGGGACCAAAGATTTCGTCGACTATACCAAGCGGCGATCTACTTTCGGTAATCCAAAGAATAGAACCCTCGTTTAGTGGATTGTGCTTCTCAACACCTTCGACAACCACTTGGGCACCAATTACCGACAAAATAATTCCAACCGGTTGGGGTTGATGATGCGGTTCCAAGCTCACACTAACAGAAGGAACCGGAGGAAGAACCTGCATACATATATAATAACATAAAAACGGATACTCAACAAAGCTAAAATAACCATGAAGATATAATTCAGTTCATTCATCTAACAAGCGCAATAACAGGTGTTCGTTCAGACAACATACAAATTAATGACGACGAATGATTTACCTTGAGTTCGTTTTTAGACATGATAGGGCCAACAGTAGCAGTTCCAACAAAGTCCTCCTCGTCATTATCACTCCAATTAACCATATCATCGGCATCATCGGATAACAATATCTCACCTTCCTCTTTATCAACAACGGCTTTCTCCTTGTTCGATTTCTTTTCACCGATATCTTCATCTTCTTCTTCCTCGTCGTCTTCACTACTACTACTACTATCAGCCGAAGAAGATGAAGAACTCTCATCTTCATCTTCATCTTCATCTTCATCACTACCACTCTCATCATCAATTTCATCGTTCTTGATTTCATTAACAACACTTGCTTGTTGTAAATTATCATCATCCCCATCTAACCTAACTTTCTCCATCTCTTTTTCAATTAAATCCCCCAATTTAATACTCTCAGTTTCTCCCTCTTCTTTCCCACTCAATTCGTCTACAACAACTTCATGTTTATCAACAACTTCAAAAATATCAGTAAATTCGCCGTCAATCGAGCTAAAATCAACAGGGTTATCTCCCAAATCAGCAGCCATTTTAGGGTCGTCGATATTACCTTGGAAACACCAATCGGCAGCGGAGTCGAAGTCGAAAAAAGAATCTTCAATCTCAGGGAGAGGGAGGTGGTCAAGAGAGTTCTTCGAATCCGAAAAAGTTTGAAATTTCTCGTCCTCCTCTGAAGGTCCTTCAATGGCGGGACTGCGCAAGAAACCAACCATGTTCAAACTGAAAGGGAAGAATTGTTGTTGATGCTGAGCAAAAGTTGTTCATGGCTTTTGGCTTTTTCGCAGGGATAAATATTTATAGATGAGAGAGAAATCAATTAGCGGGGAGAGCGGAGAGAGAGAGAGAGAGACCTAGTTTGGTTTGGTGGCGTCAAAAAACCTTAAACCCTAAAAACCTTCACAGGGCTACTTTAACGGGGCAATCGCAGCATATTTTTTTAATATATACACAATTAGCAATAAATAAATATGTTTTCTACACTAAAACTGATTAATTGTATATTAAAAAATAATAAATAAATAATTAGATTAAAAATTAATATTTTGTCATTAAACACTAAATATTACAAACAAATATTAATAAAATTTGTACGAATGGGACCCGACAGTTGAACCGGTGGTCAGTCCGGTCTGAGTCAGTACCCAAAACCGGGGTCAAACGGCCAGAACAGAAAAACCGCCCAATTTGACCTGAAAATCGGAAGCCGGAAAATGCTACTTTATCTATCACCCAAAAAAGATGAGATCTAGTTTTTAGTCAACAATAAAAACTTATTGATGAAGTCAGGTAATGAAATTATCTGCAAAACTTGAAGAATTTGATTTCATTTCCTTCTATCTTTATAGAAAATCATTAATTGTAGATGTAAGAAAAATTTAACCCAGAGACACCATGGACCCGACCAAGTACGGGTCGGTTTCACATGTGAGACCGACCCGGATTCGAACTCGTCACACTGGGAATAATGGACAATTCTTACCATCAGGCCTAACTAACATATTTGATTAAAGGCTGACAATAAATATATATAATATAAAACGCTGGTGTAATATAATAAATATGTTAAATAAATTATTAATTTTCAAATAAGTTATTATTAAATAATTTTAATTAAATTATTAACAAGTACAGTATAAGAAACTTTTAAACAAATATATAGAATCTCGGTTCAATACTTCAAAACATCTATTATTAATTACTATATCAATATAATCTCCACTATTGAAAAATATAAAGAATTGAATCAATTCAATATATAAACAAACGCGTTGACTTAATACAAACTCACTTATGTTATTAAAATCGATAGTGTGAAAAAATCGAATGAAAAATAAAATAAGATGTTTATTTAAACAAATAGATTATAACTCATTTCAATTAATCTAAATCGATTAGCCTCAATTGTTGAAGAACTTATTAAATTATTGATTATTTTATCATAAGATAACTGTTTAAAAATATATATGATGTTTATTTTAACAAAAATAGATTATATCGCATTCTAATTAATTTCTTACTTAAAAAATAAAACTATATATGACGAGTGTAATCAAAATATTATGATGTGATTTCTCTTTTCATAATTGGTTTAATTTATAAAAATCGTAAGAATTAAATCGTAGGTCATATGATTTAATCATTTTTTTTTAACATTTACATTTTATTCAAATACTAGAATCGAATCGTAAGATTTTAATGGATTAAGCTCAGGTCCTTTCAATTTATTTTATGTTTTTATTATATTATATTTGTTAATAATTTAATTAAAATTATTTAATAATAATGAATATGATAATTAATAATCTACTTAATATTATTTATTACAATCATTTTACACCTTTTGTTTATGTTATATATATTCCTTGTTAAAATAATCCTAACTATAAATAAATAAATGTAAATAACACTGTAAAAATGATTATAATAATTGTATAACTAATATTTTATAAATTATTAAGTGTCATATTGACTATTATTAATATCAAAAATCTCGACTAATAACAAATGCATATATATTTAATTTTAAAAAATACGATTTAATTTTAAAGAAATATTAAATTTTGATTTTTTTTTTTGAATTTTGAAATTTTGAAAAATTTCTCAATTTTATTTTCACTTATAAATACCCATAATCCAATTTTCACAACTTTCATTTTATTTAGTGTATTTCTCAAAGTCTTAATCGTTTCATTCTTTTCTAAAATTGTTTAGTGTTTAAAATTCAATTATTTTTTTTTATTTTGAATTTAAAGTTAATCTCAAGTTTTTTCAAGTTTCAATATAAGTTTTTTTTTCCTTTCTTGTAAAAAAAAATTGAAAAACAGATTTGGATCCAGATCCGACCCGTACCCAGATGGACCCGCCCCGGACCTGACCCGCCTCCCCACGAGTTGGTTTCGGGTCACCTAAAAGTCGGACCCGGACCCGACACGCCCCATGGCCATGTATAGTTGTGGCTGTGATCGTGGTGCTGGGTGGGGTGGGGTTTGATACTGACTTTTTTTTTTTTTTTTTTAATAAATGAGAGGGAATAATATTAACAAAAACATAAAGGAAAAATACAAGAGGGTGCCCACCATCACAAAAACAAGCTAGAGGAATAGAAACATGGGGAACAAACCCCACCCAATTCGATTACGGGCCCATTTGGCAAGAGAATGAGCAAAAAAATTTGAATCGCCATGTCGGCCATAATTCTAAATTTATTAATCTCCTCAATGGCCACTTTAGCATTCCACTAAACTGGACATATATCACTATTGATAAAGGAGATATCATTGAGCGAGTCTGCTTCAAAGATGGCTTCTTTGGTCATTGAACGGTTGAGGATTTTGCATGCTTCCAAGATGGCAAGGACTTCAGTAACAAGAGGATCAAGACATAAGTGGGACATGTAATATTTGAAATTATGAAAATGCAGCTAGAGAAAGCAATCCCATTCTCAAATGAGGCATCGATGTTAATATTTAGCCAACCAAAAGGAGGGGGTTTCCATTACAGGTTGGGTGAAGATCCAGCACTTGTGTGAGTAGAGAGTTGTCTCATCCAATTGCCATTAGCACTCTGCAAAACTTTCCTAGAGATTTCCTGTGGAATAAGAAAAGGGGAACCATGAGTTTTTTAATTTTTATTGAACCATATAAGGTCAAACAAAACCCCAGCAACAATAATAAATCCTCTCTTATGATCAACGAGGGGAAAAATATTCTTTTTATCAAAAATAAGAGCAAGCCGATCCTTGACAGTAGAGTTTAGGAAGGGCTCAAGATTATAGTTTCACCTTGAGATAAACCAAACATGGTGAATAAAAGGGCAATTTATAAAAAAGATGATCAACACTATCAACACAATTATTACAGATTATTAGACTGGAAGAAAGTTTAGACTTAGCGGGAAGAATATCATTAATAATCTTCCAAAACAAGAGCTTGTGTCTATTGTGGAGTTTTGAGTTCCAAATATTGGTCCAGTTGAACGAGTGGAATCTGTTAATGCTGTGAAAACGTCAAGATTGATCAACCAGGTAAGCACTCTTTGAGGAGAAAATCCGTGACTTGAAGGGGCTCCAAAAAAGAGTTTTTGGCATAACCAAAGGAGACATTTGAATCTTTTTAATCTCTTTCACAACATCAGGAGAAAATGTGAGAGTGAGAAGATCAAAGTTCCAAGACATACTCCCTTCAATAACGAGATCTTTAACAAGCAAAATAGAATTAGAAATAGGGAAGATAAGGTCTTGAGGAGGTTTCAAACTAGGCAAAGAGGTGATCCAAGGTTCTTGCCAAATTAGAACATCATAGCAAGAGTTTATATGATAACAAGCACCTTTGAGAATCAAATCTTGAGAGTTTTTAATATCAGTCCAGAGCCAAGAGCAAGAATAAAAAGAATGATCGTCATGCAGAAAAAAACTTCCCTCTAAGGTATTTGGATTTGAGAAGAGAGACCCAGATCTTGTCATTGTTTGTAGCCAAGTTCCATGTGATCTTTGAGAAGAGAGCTTCGTTGAGGTCATACATTCTTCTAAAGCCAAGCCCACCTTTTGATTTAGGAGAACAAATTGTGTCCCAACTTTTTAACATTAAAAAGTTTCTATTACTGTTTTCTCCCCACCAGAATTTTCTAAGCTTGGCATCCAATTTATTGTATAATCTTTAGGGATTAAGGAGATTGACATAGTGTAAGAAGGATGGTTCTGCCATCAAACATATCAAGAAAGGAGTCTTTTTTGACTTTGGGTGACATAAAGGGAGCCACAAGTGTTTGGCTTTATGGTTACATTCCTAGAAACCAAGAGTACTCAAAATGTCCAACTTTATTGGGGAGGAGTGTTAGTACTAAAACGAACCAGAGATTTATCCTTACTAGCACATTGACTGACCAGGTGGAGAATTTCTCCAAGGCATTGTTGATACAGTGAGCATCTTCAATATTGGCCCTATAAAAAAATTACAAGATCATCAGCATATAATAAATGAGAAATTGAATGACTGGTTCTGAAAATTTTAATCATTTTAAAATGGTTCAACTGTTCCTCTTTTGCTAATATTCTAGATAACAACTTAGTGTAGATAAAACAAAGAAAATGAAAAATAGGAACACCCTGTCTGATTCCCCTAGAGGGCTTGAGATTTCCAAATAGAGAACCATTAATCAAGAAAGAAAGGAAATGCATTCCTGAATCAAATCAACAAATTTGTTAGAAAAATCAAGAAGTTTAAGAATTTTCAGAACAAGACTCCACTCAACCCTGTCAAAGGCTTTGGCAAAATCAATCTTAATAGCCATGAAACATTTGGAGCCTTTTTTTTTTGTTGTTGCAAATAATAAAGAATCTCATGGGAGATAATGGTGTTATCATGGATATTTCTTCCGAAAACGAAAGCCATTTGGAAAGGGGAGATAAAACTGTCAAGGTGACTTTTCAGCCTGCATGCAAGAAAATAGACAACCATTGGGTATAAATATCCACATATTTACGTTTCTCTCTGATCAAGTCTACTTTTCCTCTTTATTCTTCTCTATCTCTATCTCTATCTCTATCTCTATCTGGCTCTCTCTATCTCTCTCGCTTGATTTATTTTCTCAATCCCATGCTCTCTTTCTCGCCACCACTCCACTCCATGGTTTGAGGGGAGGTGGTGGCTATGACGATGGAATCGACTATGGCGCTGGAGGCGGTGGCATGGGGGGGGGGGGGGGGAAGGCCACCGCCACTTTTGCTCTGGGGGGAGGCCCTTCAGATGACCCCACCTTTGGCATGAGGATGACGCTCGCTCAACGGCGGCGCTCGGGGTTGAAGGAAGGTGCTGGCGTAACGATGATGGGGTGGGGATGGCGATGGCATTGTGGGTGGGGTTTGTGGCATCTTTAGCGGCGTGGGTGACGCTGGCGTTGCGGA